GGAGGTGAGCACCCTTTTTTTTAAGGAATCCGTGCCGGTGCCGGAGTTAGAAAAAGAAAAATTTCGGGACCGGAGTCGGTTTTCGGAGGCAAAAAAGTCGCCACCGCTGGGCTCTACTTGACACCCGCTGAAGATCCAACGCGAGGCTGCGGGTATTTCTCATCCATTCGCCATGATAGACTATCTTATTCTGTAAGTTTTATTATCCATAAACGACATTTTTTGTGTTATCAAAATGGATGATTACTGGCGATATCTATCTTCTAACTACAGAAACGTTTACTTTTTTTCTGCATCAGTAATTATTTTTTCAGTCGTCTCTTTGAATTTTTAAGCGACAACGATTCGTTTCGCAAAGCACCCATGCACGGAATACGTGTTTTCCCCGTGCAACTGTATAGAGGCGAGCCATAGTTACTGTTCATTATATGGCGTTTCTTAGGTCAAAAACTAGGCTCAAATTTCCAGCTACAAAATCTCAAATCCGAATTCACCGAAGTGTGAACACGGTGGATATTTTTGGCTTGTGATGCACATATAAGTTTTTTCTAAAATCCTGGCATATGAATTAATTGTGGCACGAAATATCGATTTTATAAAGACGAAAAAAATTTTATAATCGCCTGGTAATTACAATAATGATATTTTCTGCTTAGAAAGCATTTTTGTTATAAGAAAAGCTAAAGTTACCTGAAAAACCCTGTATTTGGGTGCTTATAGTTACTTCTCATCGTATGGTGTTTTGTATGATTTTGTAAATCTGCTAAATTACACCATAAAAGGATTACCTTGGTAAAATTATCAACAGGAAGATTTTCAGCTGATGCAATTAATACCCGTATGCTTGCTAAACATCTGTTAATTATTCTTATACCTCGAAAGTACTATTTCTAATTCAAACAGGAACAGGATGCTGCAAATAGTACTTTCAGCGATGTAACAATGAAACCCAAATGTTACTGTCTTTCACTTACCCTGAGGTCCGAGATCCTTCGCTTTACCGAAGTCTTGAGTCGGTAATTCCCTTTGATACTCCCAAAAGCATGCGCAAACAGTCGATTTTCAAAACAACATTTGAAAGAAGCAAAAATGGTTCATGATGGAATCAAAATAAGCAAATAAACGATGAACAATTAAAAAAAAAAGACAATAAAAAACAATGACATTTAACGCTATAAGAATACGCTTATATAAAAATAAACATGAAGGAACAACTTAGTTGAAAATAATAGTGAATGTCAAATCATCATCGATGTCATCTTGAAGTTCTCTAAAGGAAGAAGAAAAAAACACATCACAAAGCACCTATACGGCTTGGCCAAACGTTACGGAATTTCATTTTTTAGAATTCTGAACCCTCTAGTTTTTGACATGGATGAGCCTCAGAGTTAAAAATTTTATTACAAGTGTAGTTAGTGAAGTTCTAGCTGCGGTGAAAATTTGAAGTCTCTGGCTCGCATTTATAGAGAGAAAACTTGAAATTACTCACTGTTACGGAATTTCAGAAAATGGAAGTGATTTTCGAATGTTTTCAGTATAACAAAAAATGCTCCGAATGTAAATGTGCTATGAACAAATTTCTCACGACGAAGTTGTAGGTAAATATGAGAGCTATTTGAATATCTATTTGGTTTTTTTTTGTTCTCACTGCCAAGTGATGAAAAGAGGAAAGAGCAGTCGTTACGGAATTTCATCTTTTTTTCGTTCTGTTTATTGTAGAAGCTTTTTCTTCTATATTTCTGTGGATGCGTGCATAAAATAAACTGCTGGGAGGTTTGTTTCGAGTACATGTTCACCGAATATTTTCCATGTGTTCAGGTACTAGTACAAACAAACGAAAATTATTTTCCTACACCTTAAAGTGTGCTCTTTCACATAAGATTAGTTTTACCACTTCATTTAACGCTTCATACTTCCGCACTCTGGTGTACCGTTAGCTGGCCAAGCCGTATAATGAATGAAAAGGGAGAGTAAAAAAAGTATACTTATCTAATTCAGAGGCTCGTCAATATAAAATAATATAAATTATAGAATAACAGGAGCAAAATTCATCAAAATTGAAAACATACATTTTAATATTCAATGAAGGGGATTGTTTTGGAAGTGTGTTGCCAGTGCTTGACGAATTTGTGTGACATTGTTTGTTATTGTCGTACAGTTCGGTTTTTTGTATAAGGGTTGGGAAACATCCCACTCAACTTCAACATTATCACGAATATCGGCACAAAAATTATGTAAAATAACAGCTGTTTTGATGATGTTTGCGACGTTGTCAATATCACACTCTATTTTTCTATGTAATAACCAAAAACGATTTTTTAACTGACCAAACGCTCGTTCGACTACATTTCGCGTACGGGATAAACGATAGTTAAATCGTGTCTGATACTGAGGCATATTTGGGTGGATTGTGTACGGTTTCATTAAATTCGCCGACAATGGGAATGCGCTGTCTCCAAGTAAATGTGCCGGTACATTCGTCTTTTCAATTGTTTTGATTGATCGCGTAAATAACGGTTGTTGAATGTAAGCGGCTAACGTTGATTGATTATACACATACGCATCATTGCAACGACCCGGTGCTCCAATATGACGTACGTGAATTTCAACGATGCATTGACAACAGCTAAGGGAAGAATAAGGTTGAAGGTCAAATACAAAGTCAGAGACCAGTATTGCAGTTCTCCTACGTCAAGATCAGAGGTTTTGAATGATGCTATGATATTTATATTTTTGACTGATGCTGATCAGCCCTGTGTCTTACACATCCGCTGCCATGAGGTTCATCAAAACATCCTCAAAATCATCATCAAAACGGTCTTTATTCTACATAGTTCGGTGTTTTTATCCGTAATCAGATTCCATCCTGCAGGTAAGCAGCTCACAAACTATAACAATTATTCTTCTCTCATCCAGTGAAGGTTCAGTATCGCTTTTTTATTAGTTCTTCATCTTCAATTGTCATTGGTGGCTTAACTTTTTCCGACTTAAGTCATCAAAATTAAGCACCTTAAGTTTAACTTAACTTTTCAACCAATCAGCATACTTAAGGCAAACTTAAGTTGTGTAGTGTGAACATAGCCTAAGATGTTCTAAGAGATTAAGAATGTTTGATCATATTCATTGGTCAAGCGCTGAGCGAATAATAAATGGAAAAATGACCTCGTTGATTATTAGGCAGCGAAAAAGTAGAATTAGATGCATTGTCAACTCCTATTTATGACAGAATACAGCCGATAGATAAATCCAAAAAATACCCATGGACACTTTGGTGTGAACACTAATAATAGATCAATAGATGGAGTTAGATAGAGTATAAGGTTTAATGACAGAAGAGTAAGAGAGGAAAACTCAGTAGTGTAGTTTGTCCAGACATTAACTAATTGTATACTTTCAAGTACGTCAAGACCGATTAAACCTTTACATAACGCGGATGAATTTGGGAATAGCTTTCGTGTCTGGATCTTTCCGGAAACGTTCGGGATTTTTATATATGGTCTTGCGACGACTGATACCGAGACAGAGTGAGTAGTAGAGTACCCTCATACTATTTTAAAAAATTTGGTCAAATTTACTCTCAATTTGTGAAAAAAATATGAACGATTTACTCGCATTTTGGAGAAACTCTGGAAGTGATTTACTCCGATTTTGAACAAAAGCACGAACGATTTACTCGTAATTTGAAAAAGATAAGAACGATTTACTCCGAATTTCGGAGAGACCTGGGGGATGATTTACTCCGATTTTGGTTTTCTCGAACACCAAAGTGTTGCTTTCTCCGAAAACTGATATTACATGTGTTCTTTGAAGAAGCTTTCTTAACCGACTTCGATGGCTTATTTCTATTATTTTCCGCCTACGTCTTACTCCCATTTTTCGAATATCCGAACTTTGTATGGTTGCGAAAATGATATAAATTTCTATTTATTAAGAGATTAAGAATGTTTGATCATATTCATTGGTCAAGCGCTGAGCGAATAATAAATGGAAAAATGACCTCGTTGGTTATTAGGCAGCGAAAAAGTAGAATTAGATGCATTGTCAACTCCTATTTATGATAGAATACAGCCAATAGATAAATCCAAAAAATACCCAAGCACACTTCGGTGTGAATACAGCTTCGTAAATCTCACAGGCATCTTATCGTATTTATGACAACTTATTTCTTTTAGATATCTTATTATATTTAAGTGATTAATAAAGAACAGTAGTAGCGTAAGATGGCTCAAAACGAGATCAATCTAATTGGTTTATATAAACTGAGCACAGAAAATGATGGTAAGGACTGGATAGAGAAACTTCAAGAGTGAGGGCACTGCCTAAAGAAGGTGAGTATTTATGTCCCAATGGAGATGAGTTAGGTTTGTATAAAGATAAGTCGCGTACTGATGGTTTTAAATGGAAGTGTTCGGAAATGATCTCGAAACCAAAAAAGAAACCGTTGAAGTGTAATTATGGGTACGAAAGCTATTATCTGTTGTTGAAAGTATCTTAATGTAGTTTATTATTATTCTCAAATTATCAAATTCTTCTCAAATTCTTATTAAAAATATCATTTCTGAAAACGTCAATCCTCAACAATCATGATTTATTGATATTTCCTACTTTGGAATTATTCAGTTTAGCTATATCGATGTGATTGATTCAAAATTATATATTAGAAGCGCTGATCGCTAGTATCGGATTCAGTTTTACCTATGAGACTATTTAAAAGGGAGGCAAGCAAACATATTATCATTTTGGATCAATAGCCACAGTTTAGCAGTATAACAACAAAGTCTTTTTATTGGCACCCACTCTCGTCAGATCAGTTATTTTCTTTTCGCCGACCACCTATGTAGACATGTGGAGATCCAATGATAAGTGAAACACGAGAATTGGGGTAAGTATTAGGTCCAGCAATCTTAAAACTTTTTGTATTAATGGCACATTCAAAACGTCCTTTATGCCATTCGAATGAATTTGTTCAAAAATGGTTGATGCAGAACAAGATCCGTGCTACTATTCGAATCAGTTTCTAAATAGGTCGAGAAACATCTTATTAGTTTAGAAATACATTTCCAGCTAAAAGAATCACACTTCAGTTTTTGAGAACGTTTTCTACTGAATTACAGCACACGGTTCCTTTCATATGGAAACGTCAATGCTTTTGTTACGCAAGTATTTTGCTCTAAGTCATTGATGAATAAAGTATACCACTTATGCATCATCTTTCTGGACTTCGACTAAAGTACTGAATAAACTCATTTTCTTGACTTTTGCGTAACAATAGACATGACTCTGCTCTAGGGGTGGCACTTTCTCGTTCCCACCTCCTTTTTTTTATTAACAAAAGAAAACTTTTTCTGTTTCTTTACAACAAAAAAGAGTAAAGATATAATATAAAGATATGCATTATATCTTTACTCTTTACGTTTGAAATAAAAGATACCACTTTATCGTTACCCACGAAAGGAACGGGAAAGTGCCGCCCCCACTCTGCTCGCTTCGGCTACGTCACCTTTTATAATTATCCGACGTAAAATACATTCTGATGTCATCCCACTTGTCACTTGGATACAAAACGAGAAATAAGTTTGCACGTAGCTGATAAACAGATGTGCTTCCGGCGGAACAACAAAGTTTCTTCCTGCTGATAATTCTAATCAGCTATGAACAGAGATGGAATCACTAGAAGTATATATTTCATCACTTCAGAGAAAATTCACATAACTCAGTCAGAAATGTTGACTAGCAAGCAAACTATCTACAAGGTTAGTTCAACAAACCTCACTTTTAACAAGCTGTATATGAAACTTCGAACTGATCTTATTAACCCTCCCTTGTTCGAGCAATATATAAGATTTACATATCTCTAGTAAAAATCTTAGGCTCTCCTTAAAATTATCGTACTATTAAGATCGCATAAGATCTTGCATTTGTAAACCTGTTAAAATAATCTAAGATCTTCTTCAAGATTTGAATAAGATTCGATACTTTTACTTTCATTCATTCTTTCCTTTTCTCGTACTAAATACTGTCTAAATAAATAACAGCTGAAGTTTGCGGTATTATTTTTTCCAAGACTTCAGCGCTATTTTGAAAGTGTTCAACAACCTTTCTCAACGTGCACACTGCGAATCAACGTCCATGAATGGATGTTCAACAAATATGAAATTTCTTTTTATTCTTCAGGTCTATCTGTGTGTAACTTTTAAGAATGTGGGGCAGTATACTCAAATCAGAACTATATAAAATAAATTTGCCAGCATCTGAACAAGACATCCGAAAACGCTTGGTGAATCGTGACTGAATCTGATTAGAAAACGTGCTTATTCTTAGTAAGATGTTAACAAACTCTTACTGAATCATAAAAAAATTCGGCACAAAACAGCCTATGTCTTGATGTCTAGCGGAGTTATATAAGAGATACATCAAATTCTAATACGTTACAAGTTTTGGAGTTATGAAAAAACAAATGATTAAAACAGAACAACGCATCTTCAGAAGAGAAACTGCCATATTCGGTCTTTTAGAACTATAAATAGTTTTCGAATAAAAATGTGTGTAGCTTGAGAAAAATGGATTTTACCTCAAAAATCAGGGCTTTTTGGTAAATCCTATACCTCAGCTAATCAGTGATCACGCTATTTTACCCTAACTGAGTTGATTTTTCATATATAGATGAACATTCTCTGAAAGTTTCAAAAAGCTTGATGTGAGTGTGGCATGCAAATTATTAAACACACCTTAGGGAAAACTTTTAGTGCAACAAGACTAATTATTTTCTCTGACAGAAAAGTGTCTGAACAAAACTTCTTCTTACAGATTGATTGTGTCAGACCTCTACTTTCCGAATATGTCTGATTTATTCACAAACTCTACCTACTTCCTATAAAAAAACAATATAACTTGCTAAGGTAGCTGAAATCTGATTGATTTTTGCGACTAAGTTTTCTCGACGACCTTAACCGCCAGAGCAAAACATTTTTCACCATTAAATCTGCGATTAGTTAAAGTAAAGTATAGTTGACACTATTAAAAACTTGGAAAAGCTCACCTTCATTTTTCTCCCTAATGTCCACGTTGTTGCCCCCAGTGAAATACCTAGATATATTGTATTCAAAAGCGAGCGGACACTAACGAACCTGCCGTCGTAAGATCTTAGAGACATGTAAGCGTAATCTTACGAAGATCTTAATAAGATTCAAGTAAGTTTCACACTAGGGATACTTCTCAAAAAAAAGCTCACACATAACTGTCTTCACCATACGAACAATCTGACAATAATTCACTTCATTTGAACTTTTTGCTCATCGTATCCCTTTCGGAGTTGAGAAAATGATTACAGCATGTAAAATCTAATTTTCACATGCATACAGATATTTGATGTATGATACAACACCGTACTGTGGGGAACACAATGTTGCGAATATACCTGACGTATCATTCAGCAGAAATAATGAAATTTAGAGTAGTTCTATTATTGTTTTAGATTTAACTGATAGCTGAAAATGAATTCATCTGTATGGTATGATGACGTCTTCAATGACAACGATAATATCAAAGCATATACCAACTACTATTTAAAACATCACAATCTGCGTCGTCGATCGTCAAAGTTACATCGTCATGATTCATTACGACGAAGCATGTCATCAGAAGACTTAACAAACTTAGACGAACATGAAAATAAAAGTAAATTGTCTGTTGCAAAAACAATCAAAGAAGGATCATCACTTAATTCTCTCGTTCTCCAAGTCAACAGAGACGCTATTTGTGGAAATTTACACGAATACTGGTTTGATCGAAATCAACTGAGTCAGAACCTTCGTCCGTCTCTAATAAGACTATTAGCAGGTGATGATGATATCACGAATGGAGATCAATGTAATAATTATGCGACATCTACAGAAAATATCATTAAGCCTTTATTTTTCCATTGTAAACGAGGTGCAAAATTTCGACGTCCTGGTATATGTAAAATAATCGATAAAGTTCAATATAATGAACAAACGCAATTTGTCTGCGATTTAGCAAAACTGGTCATAATGGAAATAAACTTAAAATCGCTATAAATGGATTAGATACGGTTGGACACTCGTTTTATTTGAATCTGTAGTGTGTTTGATTTATCCCTGTCGCTGAAGTCATTATGACTGGAACAAAGTGTGTGTGTAATCTACAGATTTTAAATGTGTGCATTTCTCAACAAAAGCCACGATCATTATTTTATTTTTATTCATTTTAACGAATATCGTTCTCTTAGTCAACAGTCTCCGAGAAATATCAAGTGAGCCGATGGAGAAAAGCGTCTTTCATAACCCAAGGAACATATTTAAAATTCACCACAAGCCATGAATAAGACCCTGGCACATAGGGAAGTCACTCAAAAACGGTTCCTCCACATCTGTTGAGCATATTCTTTTCTTACAAAACATAATTTATCCTAATTAGTAATCAAAGGTAGCTTGTGTAGACGTTCATAATACATATGATAGCTTGTCGAAATAACCCACAATGAATTCTCTTAAAGAAAGCCTGAAATATATCACTACCGGCATCGCCAAATATCACAGTCTGAGTGCTAACGTTGCAAACGATACCGGTGATTTTCTAGCAAAACCAAATATTCATTTGGTTAAAAATTCAAAAAACTTGATCAGCGAAGTGTCGCGTTACGTGGACAAGCCGCACAATCGGTATGAATCTTACCTACTATCGATTCTAAAATATAAGAGCAGTGGCCGTTCTTTGAATAACTGCTGAACGAAAGTAGATGACGACTCCCAGTTTTCGCTTTTTTATAGCCAACACTTAAGAGCAGAATTTTAAAATCTAGCGAAAACCAAGTTTTTCCAAAACTATGATTTTCCGCCAGTTTTCATCGATTATTAAAAAATTCACAATTTACCCAGGCGAAGAAAATACGGCTAAAAAGTGGGTCCATCTTTGGCCTTGCACGGGTGACCAAGACCAAAAAGGGTGTGGACAAGGTATCACTTTTGGACGGGATGACGACTTTCGGACGCCGCAGAAAATGACGGGTGAGGGCGCCTGTCCGGACTAGTGTTGTGACTATACACCTGTCGCATTTTAATTATTTTAAATCAACATTATCGGACACCATCAAGATGACCGTCTCGAGGCCCATCTTAGACAACATGTCCGGTAGCAAAACACAACATCCTGTCTGTCGGTATGACTGAGGTCCACAAAGTGTTCAACAAAAGTTCTTCTTTCCGGTCAAAAAAGGCAAAAACGTGAAAAAACCGAAGATTCAAAAAAGAGAGCCTGCAGTTTTTAAACGAAAGGAGATAGAGTTCTAGAAAAAATATTTTCAAAATCTTCATCGAAAATGGATTTAGAAAATGTCCTTTCCAAGATTATAACATGATTCTGAGTGGGTGAAAATTGATGGTCTTTCGAACGAGGGAAAAACCTCTTGTTTTCGTTTAGAAATCGTTAACTCATGAACGAAAAGCGATAGAACCTTTATTTTTCCACCGTTAGCTCCGCCTTATGCTCCTTTAAAAAGTCATGTATCGATTTTGGAAAATATTGTTCCGTTGTTGAGAAACTAAAGTTTTTTGAAATAGTTAGCAAAAACAGGGAAATTCACTTGTATTTTGCAGTTTTCACCGTCAAACTTGCATTTTCCTGCGAAACCAATGTCATATTTGGAGTCAGCATCATAAGTTGAATTGACTGATGTGGATTTCAGGATTTTGGGGCAAATCTGTTTTTTTTCGAACTTTTGACACCGGGATTTTTTCGGAAGAAAACAGATTTGTACAAAAATCCTGAAATCCACATCAGTCAATTCAACTTATGATGCTGACTCCAAATATGGCAATGGTTTTGCAGGAAAATGCAAGTTTGACGGCGAAACTGCAAAATACAAGTGAATTTCCTTGTTTTTTGATAACTATTTCAAAACAACTTAGTTTCTCAACAATGGAACAATATTTTCTGAAACCGATACGATACATAACTTCGAAAAAGCAATTTGAATTTCCGGAATCTTATGTGTATATATATTATATACATATAAGAGGAAATTATGAACTAAAACTCGGACAAGGTCACAAAGGATAGTCTATTAATATAAATACCTATGACCGTTTTCAGTGGACACACAGACAACCATTTTGTAAGACACTACACTAAAGTCAAGTGAATAATTTTACAAGGTAACGTTCGTGTGAACTCGCTCGCTACCTTGACTTCGAACTTATATCTGCCAACCATCTTCCATGAATCTGTATCAAAGACACAGCTGACACCTCCATTCGGTCGATGTTTGCTAGGGTACTATCCAAAATATGTTGAATTTTTCTCATTTGATATGTAAGCGTCGTAATCTACCATAAATCTAAAAAGCATTCTTGAGACCCTCCAGCCAGAGATCCTCAAAGGTCTAAAAATATTTTGTAATTAAAAACAATGATCATGGCTCCCTTCGATATCGGCGTTGGTAGCTAGGATAGATGAGAACTATTGTGAACTTCTCGGATTCAACAAAAATGCCTTCAATTGAATATGAAGTTAAACGTTTTCTGGACATCCTCTGAAGATCCTGAGGAGACTGGAAATATTCCTAATCGATTTGCCATGACAGACTATGTATATTGTGTAAATTTTATTGTCTATAGGTGACTTTTTGTATTAAACAACAAGTTCACTTTATGGGAAACTTAAAGAATCCAGATTTTGACTATTCCATCTTAAAGAGCATCACTTAAAACCTACAAACTGAAAAAAGAAACTTCGCGGCAAACACTCGAGATCCCAAAAAAGTTCAAGTTTCTCTATCAAGTCCTTACCATCATTTTCTGTGCTCAATTTATATAAACCAATTAGATTGATTCTACTTTTTCGCTCCCTAATAACTAAAGAGGTCATTTTTCCATTTATTATTCGCTCAGCGCTTGACCGATGAATATGATTCGTATGAAAAATCAATATGAGTCAGATGTAGATGTTAGTCAGATAGAGATGGTATAATCTCTATCTGAAAAGGAAAAATCAATATGAGTCAGATGTAGATGTTAGTCAGATAGAGATGGTATAATCTCTATCTGAAAAGGAAAAATCAATATGAGCCAGATAGTAAATTCAAGAGAATGTTCACAGGAAATTCAGCTCTCTGTCCTTTAGCTAAATAGACAAACATTTTCGCTGGTATAATAAAGTGCCTTATATAAAGACACTGGTTTTCGACTTCATTTAAATCGAGAAAAAAAACATTGGTACCGTCAATCATACACGTGGCGAGAGTATATATATATATATATATATATATAAGGTGCACCGAAAGGAAAATTTTAGCAAAAGTTTCCTTTGCGTGCACCTTATATTACTCAGGAAAGGAACCTGAAGGTGCCACCCCCACTCTGCTCGCTTCGGCTACGTCACCTTTTATAATTATCCGACGTAAAATACTTCTGATGTCATCCCATTTGTCACTTAGATACAAAACGAGAAATAAGTTTGCACGTAGCTGATAAACAGATGTGCTTCCGGCGGAACAACAAAGTTTCTTCCTGCTGATAATTCTAATCAGCTATGAACAGAGATGGAATCACTAGAAGTATAT